TGGGTAGGAGATATCGGGATCGGCATGCTAGTAAAAAATGAACGATACCAGTATTGGGGTGGATTTGTGGGTACATGATGACATGAGCCGTGAATGGAAAAGTGAGGAGCCGAGATCAGCAAATGAACAGGGACAAATGAGAAAAAGATAGTTACAGTACTGAGCGTTTTATAAGAAGCCCGTTTAATACTTACATTTTCATCAATACGGAAATCGCATCCTAAGCACTTACTGTGGATGATAATTTTTAAGTTAGTTGAGGTAATTTAAGATCCAACATCAGAGCACTCGAGTTTTTCCATAAGTGCTCCGTCCCCAGCTTCAGCAACCAGTGCAGGGTTTAAATACCAATGGTACCAGTAGTATTCAATATACATTCGTCTTGGCTATCTTCTGAGCGTCGAAAATCGGTCAGATCCCCTCGTCCCTCCTCATTGCATCACCAGACTGTGTTGATCCATTTGCTTCTCCAAATTGTACATGCTCTCTCACATAGCCCTAACCACGTCCGCCTTATCATGCATCAATATTTGACCAAGCTGTACAGAGCAAGCAAGTCTGTCCGCCTGTTCATTTCCCACCACACCGGAGAAACTATAAATACAATACTCCTCACCCATAACTTACGAAGCAAAACATGCCACTCTGCAGTTCTCGCCTTCCTCAGCATGCATTTTGAGTCAGTTACAATAACAATTTTGTGTGCATGGTATCATATAACCAGCGGAAAGATGCAATGACCGCCTCTACATCCATTCTTAAGCTGGATGTTGTGGTATGACATGCATTTGATTGTGGTGTCATATATCATAGCATTTTTAAGCTCGTGGGTCTTGCCATCGGCTGCTGACGAAAAGGCAATAACCAGTTATAAAACATCTTTGCTAAACACAACTGTGATACAAAAGGAATGCTAACTTTGTTTTACGAAATTATGTTTACATTTAAAATAATTGATATTTTTTAAACGCCACTATAATATTTTGTAATTTCTAAATGCGATGTAAAAACTAAAAGCATGCTAATTGACGTTTCTTAAAATATATTTGTATTTAAAATAATGCATATTTAAATTTTTCATATACTGTTTTCAAAATTAATATGCCATATATTGTTTTCTAGTGATTAAATGTAAAATTGTGCACTAAAAAGTAATGTTAGAAAATCTTGCTAAGTTTTGAATGTTGTCTTGTTTTGGCTTGAAAATTAACTGAAAATCGTGTGCCTGCAAGCTGACAACCTTATTCCATAGGAAGAGATATTTGTGACAGATGCAGGGTAGGGCTGCCAATTGTTGGCTTCAGCCAAAAGTATATTATAACACACCATAGATTTGTTCGTCCTTATAAGGACGAAATTTTTTGTTATTTGAAGCCCCGCCCTGGCTTTTGTCAGGGGCCGCAATATAGGCAGGCCATAAATATGGCCAATTGTCTGAACGCAGTTTCTGGGACCTCTCCACGGCGATCCTCATCCACATGGTGGCACTTTGTGTCATCGGGTGTTTATCGCTTGTGTGATGTTCTGGTGGGGTAGAAAGTCAGTCAGTCGGTAGGGCTGCCAATGCTGGGCGCCCCCCCCCCCTCTTTTTCCACCAGATCTGGGTTTTTATTTGACACCTTGGGGAAAATCTTTTTTTTTTTTATATATAAAAGAGGTAAGTGTTTCGTTTCGTAACTATACATTTTGTACATTTTAACATTCTGTTTTTTTTTTTCTTTGTCTTTGTATTGCTTGGGTTTTTGTTTAGCGAAGCTGGGTTTTTCACACACAAACAATCCTATTGGCAGCCCTGGATGCAGGGAGGGACGGGGAATTTACTTTCTCTAAGGGACATTTGTGACAGTCGCGGGGATTTCAAGTGCTTTACCAGGTTGTTTCTTAGCTGTATAATTTATACAAAGTAACAAGTAAACATCTTTCCTCTTATTATCCGACAGTAAATAACAAAACTGAAAAGATTATTCGAAAGAGTAAATCATTATATAGTAAATGATTGTATGGTTACGTTTCTCTTAATACTATCTCAACTTGACCAGTCACCGCCATTTTGGATTTCCTATGTTGCTGTGAGAAAAAGGGGGGGGGGGGGGTGATCTAACTTGTAAAAATGCATACAAGATTATGGGCTCTCCTCCGAATAACGATCTTAAATTAACGAGGCTAAACATACCCTAACAGTACCTCAATGATGTGTTTGTAAAATTAGGATTCCTTTCCGGCGAATACACCAGGACAGACGGCAAATCGCGCAACCAGTCCCGCCTTTGTAACGTCTCGTTTAAGTTGCATGCATACCTGATGCATTAACCCTTCAATTTCAATCGCTAGTGTCGCGGTTGGACTGTTGTGGCAGATTCTGGTGGCGATGACCTAATTGTAATACTACTCGTTGCCCTAAACCTAGAGGACCCGGGGAAAAGTTAAAGTTAAACCTCGAACCCAGGGGAGATTAGAAGTAAAACCACGACCTTCTCTATTTAGAGACGGCGTTGGTTAAACCTAGGAACCTCCAACCAGGGGATACGTTTAACCTGAGACCCTGTGATAGAGCTGATGTTTTGCCTGCCATGGTGATAATTCTGTGATATTTTTTGCGTTCTGCGAAATTATTGCAGGAAATTAATCCTGCTTTTGCCCCGGTATACTATCGGGGAAAGTAGTCTGCAATTTATCTATGACTGAGGCCCTGTTAGGGGATTTTTTACCCTTGATAATTTAGAACCGTTATTCGGAGGAGAGCCAAATTATGATTTCAGTTCAGTAAAGAATCACTGACAAAAATGTGATTCATTGCAAGCATATTGGCTACTGTACAAATGGGGCCTTAAACTCAGAGTTTTTAAAAAAAAAACAGTAGAAAATTCAAATAAAGAGGAATTCCTAATTTTAACAAATAACGCAAGGGTAAAATTCTTTAAAAAAAAACAGTAGAAAATTCAAATAAAGAGGAATTCCTAATTTTAACAAATAACGCAAGGGTAAAATTCTTAATAATTTTTGAAAAATGGGGGAAAAATTCTTTCTTTATTTTCAACTCACCACATCAGGGTTCCCCCTCCCCCTGAATGTCCCATAGTATAGAGGTGTTGGGGTTAGGCTTAGTAGTAGTCCCTATTAATTTAACACTAGCCCTAAAGACCACACCCCCCTAATATTGGGAAATCCCTAGGAATTCCCTACCAAATCTCAAAGCCAGCGTGACCTGGTGACTCTTTTTCGATCTCCAACTACCAAGGTATTTTTTGTGTGCGTAAAAATATGGATGCCATCACTGAGCCCCGTGCTTATGTATTTACAACATATAGTAGCTCGTCAGTCATTCAGTCATGTGCTGTCTCCATAATGAAATTTGGCTGCAATAGATCTTCAACATGCTTAGTCTCTTGTCTTGGTTATGCCCTCTCTCACACTGCTTTTTGTTTTTCTCTTGACATTGTATTCACACTTGTATTGTTATCTACCTCTTTCTCTCTTGCCACCCAACCCCAGAGTACGGTAGCTACTGTTGTAGAAAGAATTGGAAAGAAATTGTAAAACATCAGACATGTCTGTCTTTTCAGGATCAGGAGGTAGCATGCCCCAGTGGATATATCTGCTTCTATTTATTGGCTGTTTGAGGTCATATCATTGTTATAATTCAAACAACCAGAACTTTCCATTGGTGTTTTCAGCCAGCTAATGCTAAGAAAAAGAAAATATATGATTTGACTGCAGTCAGCCTGTTTCTTCTTCACATTCACCGGCTGTAACTGCAGCGGAAAGTTCTGGTTGTTCGTCCACCTTTGGACTTTAGTCTTGTTCCAATACCTGAGTGTTGCGTGCACATCTGTTTTACAGATCTGACTCATTTATATGCAGATTGTTGGTCCCTTACCTCTCAGGCAGATGCACTCTGACTTCAAAGAAAGCCCCCAGTTAGTTGACTGTTACGACGTACTGTGCTGGGGAGGCAATGGGTCTATTCTTGTCTTCCTCACAGTGGGGCCCGAAACCCACACAGGGAAGTGGGTCTGTTTTCATCATGTCATGAGGAACCATAGGAGCTGAAACTCTGTGCAGGCTGTTGAAGACTTCGGCAGCGTGCTTATGGAAATGTCCTGAGTCCTGTAATGTCCTTTCATGGCTTAGAAGCATCTCAACACATTAACTTCCACTTCTTAACCTTCACCAGCTGTACACTCTAGCAGAAAGTCATGGTTGTTCATCCACTTCTGGACTTTAGTTTTGTTTCAGAACCTGGGTTTTCCTTGCACGTAAATTTTACAAATATGACTTATTTTTATGTAGACTATTGGTTCCTTGCCTTACAAGCATATGCATTCTGACTTTGAAGGAAATGTCCCAAATTAGTCAGTTCTTACATATTGTGTGTCAGGATTACACTGGGCCTCTCCCCACCCCCTCTCCCCAATTGGCCCCTGAAACCAATGCAGAGAAACATGTGAACTGGTATATATTGTAGGAGCTGACAAAATGTGCAGAAGCATGATCGCCAACAACATTCATGTCCCCTTGTGCTAAACATTACATTTCTTCCTCTTTTGTCTCTTTAAGTGTCGGGGTAGATATAAGTTACTTCTTCTTGTTCTTCTGGCCCTCTTGACTATGCACACATTATATAGATATATAAAACACACTATGTTTTCTCATGTTATCTTTCCATCTTTTGTATCCTCTTTTATGTTTGGTATGGTAAATCATTCTCTCTACTATTTAGTTATTACATTTATTTAAAATTATATAGACACATTGCAATATTCTTTGCCCTTCGATTATTGTTTTTTTTTTTACTTTTCTCATGTCACCCAGCAGATTACAAGAATACAGAAAGTGCTGAAGATTTGTATAAACAGCCTCATCTATTTTCCACACAATTTAAAATCCAGTATTGTTCTTGAAGTTAGTTAACTGCAGATATTGAAACAATAATAGTTAATTTTATCTGACTGAACAAGGTGTTCCTGACATTTCTAACTGTCTGTTATTCAAATGAAATCATGGAACAATTTATTAGGAAATATAAAGATCTAAAAGCATTCCTGAAGGCAGTCAGAGAGGGCAGCCTGGAAGAAATTGGTCAGATTCTTGACTCAGCAGCTGACTCCAGTCGTTTGGTCAATTTCATCAGGTGTCCTTTAGCTTATTCTGCAAATGGTGAAGTGGCCAGGTTTCTAATTGCCAGGGGTGCAAATGTGAAACATGTCAAATGCGTAAGCCAAAAAACATGCCGGTCACCTCTGATGGAGATTTTAAATAAGAGGAGGGACTATAAAGCTAATTCTGTGGTAGAGGTTATTCAAGTGCTGCTGGAAAATGGTGCTTCTGTAAATGATGAATGTGGGGATGGGAAAACTCCACTTATGTTAGCAGCTGTGAGAGATGGCAATGTGGGTGTGCTGCAGCTTCTCTTGGATCATGGAGCTGAACTTGGTGAGGTGGATGAGGAAGGTAACACAGCTCTTATACATGCGGCTTGTGAAGGGTGTTTCCAAAATGTATCATTTCTACTTCAGTTCATAAAAAATAGACCAGATATAATAAATCTACAAAATGTGGCTGGTTTAACAGCTCTCATGTATGCAGTGAGATTCAGGCGTAGGAATCTAGCTGGAATAAAAGAATTGATAGACAAAGGTGCAGATGTTAATATTAAAGATAAAAATGGAAACACAGTTTTATTACACTTACTTTTTTTATCAGATCAAGATGAAGACAAAATTATTGAATCTCTTATCCGAGCAAGAGTTGATATTAACTGGCAGAACAATTATGGCCTCTCTCCGCTGATGGTAGCTGCTCAAAAATACCTAATAGATACAATGTTGCAGCTGGTTGATTCAGGAGCAGAAATTAATGCTGTTAGCAAAAGAGATGCTACAAAAACAGCATTATCACATTTTCTGTACAGAGTAAATCCCGTGGGTGATTATTTAGTGCACTTGTCATTTTTCATTGATAGAGGAGCTAATACATCATATATGGAAGCTACTGCATTACACAGAATGATTCTCCTTGAACATTTGCATAGTCTTACAATGCTGATCCGGCATGGATTGGGGCCTGCCAGTGTTTTTGTAACTTGCAAGCCTTCTGCTTCTTGCCCCTTGTATAAAGTAATGAGAGAATATAGAATGCTACCATCAACTTGTGAAACAGAAATAACTGAATATTTCTCACCATTCAGTGCAGCATTGTGTGTAGGGTATGATAATTTAGCTCGTTGGTTTGTTCAGCATCTGTTTCTCACTCATTATGACATCACTTCACTGACTCATAACAAGTTGTTGAGACAGCATCTTGAAAGACTGAATGACTTAGAATGCCTCAAAATCATGAATGAGATAGCAACAAAGCCAATGAGTTTATTTAATCTGTCTTTTGTGGCAGTGTCAGCAGCTGTAGGAGCAGGCCCTGGCCGTGACATCAGAGTCAATGAATTACCGTTACCTGAATGTATCAAAGACAGACTGTTATTTAAGTCTTTCTGTATGCCAGGGCAACGCTAAGTTACTCGTTATATCATGTATATTTTTGTACGCTTTTAATTTCATTCTTCTGTTTATCATCCTCCTCCTTGAAATACTGTGTCGTTGGGTCACCAGTTGCTGTTACACTGTGTGTCGTTGGGTCTCCAGTTGCTGTAACACTGTGTGTCGTTGGGTCACCAGTTGCAGTAACACTGTGGTCGTTGGGTCACCAGTTGCTGTAACACTGTGTTGCTAGGTCACCGGTTGCTGTAACAATGTGTCTTTGGGTCACCAGTTGCTGTAACACTGCTGTCATTGGGTCACCAGTTGCTGTAACACTGCTGTCGTTGGGTCACCAGTTGCTGTAACACTGCGGTTGTTTGGTCACCAGTTGCTGTAACACTGTGTCTTTGGGTCACCAGTTGCTGTAACACTCTGTCGTTGGGTCACAAGTTGCTGTAACACTGTGTCGTTGGGTCAACAGTTGCTGTAACACTGCGGTCATTTGGTCAACAGTTGCTACTGACTGTTTGTTCAGCACCCTCCACTTTGACTGTCAGATGCGATAAGTTTTGTGGCTCCATGCCTAAGGCCTATCCAGTCAATCAAGTTCTGTATTGAGGCCTTTCTTAGACTGCATCTTTCCCCCTGCTGAGACCTGTATATTGTTTCTAAGAGACCCTTAGATTTCATCACATGTCCGTAGCATTGCATTTTAGGTTTTTTCGCTGTAGTTTAGAGAGGTTATAGTTATCAGTGGGCTGGTTAATTATATGGTAAACCTCATCATTTGTGATGTGGTCTCTGTATGAAATGCAAAAAAAAAAAAAAAAAAAAAAAAAAATTCAAATTCCTCATTCTTCTATTTTAACCCATTCTGTGTCAAGTTTTACTGTCAATCAGTCAGGTGCCATCACCACAATAAAGTTTGGTTGCAATGAATCTTTAACAAGCTCTCTCTCCTCTTGGTTAAACACTCTCTCAGACTACTGTTTGTCTATCTCGGCAGCTATCCAGTCACTTGTATCGTTGTCTACATCATGTCCTCAACCTATTCACTAGACAGCCAAATTAGTTTTCTAATATCTCTTTTTGTGTATAAAACTTGTTTGTTTTTCTTTGACTTTAGTATAAAAAAAAATTTTCACTGCATTTTTATGTGCTGTTCATTGATTTTTGTTTTTTTATTTATAATTTGCATTCATTCGTTGAGTATGGATTTTTTCATGCAAAATTAGTCATATTGTATAAATAATTTAGTTATAGTTGAATGGATATTTTGGCAGTATAATTCTGTTTATTGTGAAACTTTCAAAATGCTTACAAGCCTTGGCTTAATCAACAAAAATGCCAGTAGGCATCACAAAGTGTCTTTTACAACTGCGCTAATAAGGCGTTAAAAGGGTGCTGGAACTGCGTACTGGTGTGCAGCACCAGAAAGAATAATCATAGCTTACAACCATAATGTGTTGGTTAATTTGAATTAATTCTCTAATGTGAGTGCAGGGACTGGCCAGCTAGTGCTGCAGAATCAGAAGTTCAACAAATGATTCATCACAATTCCTGCCCAAGTGATGTGATTGTTTATGCAGATGGCTCTGTTGTGAGGGGTAGACAAAGTGCATGGAGCTTCATAGCGAAGGCAAATGGATGTTGCTTGGCGCAACAGAGCCTGGCATATGATATCACAACATCTGGTTTGAGAATGGAGGTGGAGGCAGTCACTGCTGCCTTCTGTTGGCTTGAGAATCAGCTGTACACACATGTCGTCATTTTAACTGACTCACAGAGCATGCTAAGAAAGGTGGAGACAGGCATGCTCTGTGCAGAGTGGCAAGCATCACTTCAGAGATCCCGTGTTGTTAGCATCCTTTGGATATTTTCTCCAGGTGACACCGGTGTGTTGGGAAATGAGCAGATGGATAGACTGGCCGGTTCTGCACCACTTGGTGGTGAACTGATATATGACAAACTGGATGTTGTGAGGGCCCTTTGGGAGCGAGTGAACAGTGCCGAGGAACAGACAGATTATTGCGGTCTGAGGAAAATGGCACTGCGAACGAACGAACGAACAAACTTTATTTTCAAAGGGTCACAAATTGGGCACGCAGGCCTGTCTTACATTTGGCCCTTCCAGTCAACCATCTTTCACACAGCAGTTGTATTTTACTAATAAAGCATGTTATGATCATATGATGATATGCATATTATGAATATTATAAAAGAACACAAAAGCATGAGTTGTAAAGTGCATGCAAAAACCCACGCGTGCATACATACACCCACATACACACGCTCACCCACTCACTTACACACACATACATGCATGCATAAATTGCATACATACACACATACATACAGGCATACATACATACACACATTCATACAAACAAACATGCATACACACATACACACAGGCATACATACACACATAGATACAAACATACAGGCATACATACATTCATACATACATAATACAGGCATACACACATACAAACATACAGTCATAAATACAGTCATGCATGGAGACACACACATGCACACACGGACACTCCCACGGAGAGGAGTTACAAGAGGATCAGAATTAAAACTCTTTGCTTGCTGCTGAAGATGGGGATGGAGCGCTTATGAGAGTGTCCCGAGTGCTGTGATGTCGATTCTTAATTCAACATTCAACTTAATTCTCTTGTAGTATTCATGTCTACAGTTTAAAGTCTAGAGGATTGACTTCATTGCACTGGGTTTTAACCCATAGGTGCTCAGTCTCTCGAACAGCTAGCTTTGAGACATGGGCGCAAGAGTTTTACCATAAAAAATATTGGGACCTCACCATTTAACATCCCCAAAGACTGCAGTGGATGCACTGTGGCTAAACTCCATTTTAGAAAGGACACTTTAAAAGAAAAAAATTGTGATGTTTCTTGACTTCACAGTTTGTGGGCTTGCAATGGGCTCTCTTAGTATTTTAAATGATTTTAATCAGATTTCTTGGTTGATACCTGAATATATACTTTTTTTCTGCCTTTATCCACCGTCAAAATGAATCATGCCTTCTAAGTTTCATTTTCATTCCAGTTTGATTAATTTAGGGTTTTCTGATTGTATCTTATCGGGTGTATCTTATCGGGTGTCTTTTTGTTGCCTTTCATAACTGCAATATCCTTTATTCCCTTTCTAAGCTCAGTAGTTTTAATTGTGTCATATCTTTTAATAATTAAATGCTTGAACATATTGGTTACTCTGATTTCTTTCTTTCACTAACATCTGAAAAGATGTTAAAGTGTCAATGAATTATTCCTAATTTATGTTGCACTGAAAAAATTTTCATGAATAAACACTGTTATTGCAAAATTATCACTCTTTCAATGTGTTTATATATGCTTAGCTGGCTAAAGAGAAAAAAAAAGAAGCCTTAAAATAAAGAAAGAGAAAAAAAACAGTTCAGGCACAATTGATTCCCTTCTAACTAAAGTGCAAAATTAACTATTCTCAAAATTAACCTTGGTTACTACCAGGGCAAAAAAATTAGTAGTGACCGTGTTTGACCTGGCAAAGGAGAAAGTTGCTTTTTATGTTAAGTGGACTGTCTATATCAGTTAGCAGTGTTAATTTACTTGCTTTATTCTATTCAGTTGTTGCTGTAGTCTGTACTTGGCGAGATGCAGTGAATATTTTCAGGCAATAAATTATGCAGTATAATGTTGTGTCTGGGAGCCGCCGTGGTGTAGCGGCTAGATGCGCGACTGCAGATCTGAAGGTCAAAAATGAACTTCTCCCAGGTCGATCCAGCCTTAAATAATACCAGGTAAAGACTGGGAAAGTAAAGGCAGCAAGCGTGATGTTCCCCACATCACTCTCTTTCCACTTTTAATTTCCAATTCACCACTACATACATGTTATTTAATCTAATAACGTATCTTCTGTCAACTTTAGTTCCTAAATGATCTTCAGAATGTCTTCCTGCCCGGACAGTGAAGAAGCTGATAAACGGGCCAGTTCTGCCTTATTTGCAGATGTCTGGCCTGTGGATTGTGCCATCTGTTGAAGCTTTTAGAGGAATAGGAAGATCAAATCTGGGACCTGTATGTCCACATTACTGCTAAGAATGCGATAATTGGGAGTAAATATCGTCACAAGAAATTCAAATACTTAGGATCCATATTTACAGAAGATGGAAGACTCGATAAAGAGATACAGACTAGAGTTGAAAAAGCCAATGCAGTCAACTACCAACTGGCCCCACTTCTTCGTCATCCAAAGATCTCATTACCAGCCAAACGACAGGTGATAACAGCATTTTCATACCTACGTTATGTTATCAGTGCCAAACGTGGACAATGAACAAATCACATATGCAAAAAATAACTACGTGTGAAATGTGATGTCTCTGAAGAGTCACCAACAATACACGAAGAGACAGAGTCACAAACGTCAGCTTTAGAGACAAAGTTGGAACAAGAGCATGCATGGAACATATTGAAAAACAGAGAATGAGGTGGTTTGGTCATTTAGTAAGAATGCAACCGGATCAGATTGCTTATAAGGCCTTTTACAATATAACATCGGGAAGAAAGGCCAGAGGAAGACCCAGAAAAAAATGAATAGATGGAGTAGCTGACTACGGCCAGAAGATCCAGAAAACTGTCACTCAAATCACGCGAGAGGCACAAAACAAATATTGTAAACCACGACACTGGGCTGCAACCCGGTAAAAGTGAAGAAGACAATAGACAGATAGAATATCGGCACAGTAAAGCATGAGAGGCACACCGGATATACAAGAAGTTGTTAACCAGCATAAGACTGGCACTATTGACTCACTGATGTATATGTTGAAGGGGAATTCTGAGCACCTATACAGTGTCCGGAGTGCTGTGAAGATAACCACACCCATAACTCGATATATCAACATAAGCACATGTAAACTGACCTGGTGATGCTTTGTACCCACTCCAGCAACAGCTGTCCGTTTGGACACTTTCAGGCTCTCACTTTGTTGTTTGATTCGTGATTTCTCCAGTCCGTAATTGCACTGCAGC